GATTCAGGATTGCCAAGACGCAACAGTCAGGTTCATCCGTGGCGTTGGAATCTCGAGAATCATGTTTTGGCATGCTTCAGGGTCTTCAAACGATTGTCTTCCAACAAGGCAGGTCCCTCTGTGGAAGTGAACCGTTGTAGGGGCCTGCGAAGAGAGAGCTTGGGGGGAGGGTTTATTTCAACATCGTTGGTGACTCTTGGGTTTACACTGGTCCTCCTCCTCCTCTTCCTCCTCCTCCTCTTTCGTCATTCCTTCTTCCTCATTCCTTCTCCTGCTTTTCCCTCATTCCTCCCTCCTCATTCCTCCTCCTCCTCCTCCTCCTCCTCTTCCTCCTCCTCCTCCTCCTCCTCCTCCTCCTCCTCCTCCTCCTCCTCCCTTGTTCCTCCTCTCTTCCTCTTCCTCCCTCATTCCTCCTCCTCCTCCTTCTCCTCCTTCTTCCTCGTTCCTCCACCCTCCTGTTCCTCCTCCTCCTCCTGCTCCTCCTGCTCCTCCTCCTCCTGCTCCTCCTCCTGTTCCTTCCTCCTCCTCCTTCATTCCTCCTCGTCGTCCTCCTTCTCCTCCTCCTCCTCCTCCTCCTCCTCCTCCTTGTTCCCCCTTGCACCACCCCGCCCAGGAGCGTGCGGTTTTGCTATCTGGGGCCTATCGCCGATCTATACGCGATGCATCGCCAGCTCCAGGTCGATGGCCCCCCCTGAGACGGTCGCCCCCCCTAGTGTTCCAACTCTTCTCTCCTCGGCCGTTGTCCTCCTCGCTCTCCCTCCCTCCTCCTTCTCCCTCCACCTCTCCTCGCTGTGAAGCATCACGACGCGTGGCTCTTGGCCATCTTCGGTCTCGGGGGGCCCTCGCCACGCCCCAGGACCGTCAGAGAACGACTCGGGATGGAGAGCCGGTCCCCGGGAATGGGGCCCAGACCTCCCGAGGGCGGAGGAGGAGGAGGAGGAGGAGGAGGAGGAGGAGGAGGAGGAGGAGGAGGAGGAGGAGGAGGAGGAGGAGGCGGCACGGCGTCGGAGCTCTGGGTCCTCCCCGCCCGGCGCCGTGCCCGGGGCCTTCTCCTCGGCCGGGCGAGGCCGTCGCTCGGCACCTGCGCGGGGGGCCACGGGGCACGGTGCCCTGATGATGTCGGTTTGGATGCTTTTCTATTGAATAAAACTTCGTTTTTTTTAAGCAGTAGGGGCTGATAAACTGTATACTTTGAAAGCCATCAGCAGCAAACGAATTTAAATCTCTGTTCATATATGCAGACTAACACATGTGGGCCCATACCTACGTGATTACAAAACAAGTAAAGAGGTCTTACGATTAACAGATGGCGTGGAGGGGGGCAGGGATCCAGGATCGGTTATATGCTATCATCCTCGCCCTCTCTTTTCGACTCCTTCTCCTCCAGCCCTTTCTCTTTCCTTTATGCCCTCCTCCTCGCCCTCGTTTTCCTTATCCTCTCTCCTCCTCCTCTTCTTTTGTTTCACTTCCACTTGCCTCTCACTTCCTAGTTCTTGCCTTCGCTCCCATCGCCCGCGCTGCCCCCATCGTCGGCTCGCGCGGGCTGCGCGGGGGGCGGGGCCGGGGCGGCCCGGGCATTTTTTGCCGCCTCGCGGCGCCCAGGACCGCGGCCGCACCGCGCCAGGGAGAGGGTTAAGGAAGGGGCGGAAAGGACGGTGAAGGCGGGAGAGGGGCGCCAGGGACAGGAGGGACGAGGAAGTGGACGGGAAGGAGGACGAGGGCGGGGGAGGGGGAGAGGAGGAGGACGGCGAGCAGGGAGCAGGAGGTAGAAGCAGGAGGGGGGGAGGAAGGTGATGGGGGGAAAGAGGAGGACGGGAAAGAGTGGGGATGGAGGGATGAGGAGGACTGGGGGGAGGAGCTGGAGGAAGACAAGACTGCGCAGTAGGAAAAAGAAGTCGTAGGAAGAGAAGGAGGAGGAGGGCGAGGAGGAGGAGGAGGAGGAGGAGGAGGAGGAGGAGGAGGAGGGGGAAAATGCGGACCAAGAGGAACGCGGAAATACCTTCCCGCGCCCTCTCGCCCCCCCAACCCTGACTCCAATCCAACTCACTCCCGCCCCCACCCCTGCCCCCTCCCTCTGCCCCCCACCGCGTTCCCGCATCTCGTGCCTCCTCCTTGATTCCCATCCTTTTTCATGCTTTTCCTCATCAATCCTCAGCCTCCTTCTCACCCTTCCTCTCGCCATCGTCTCCCACGCCTTCATTCTATTGATAATCTCTCCTCCCCCGCCCCATTTCGATCCACCACCTTCCCAAGTTATCTCATATAGCATTACCTTTTCCACTATCCTTCTTCGTTCCTGCAACCCCGCTGCTCCAGAGCCTTTCGGTTCGCCCCCGCAGCAGGCCTGCTCTTTCTAAAGGGGGAGGAGGGGGGAACCGATGGCGCAGCCTGCCCCGCCCCCAGGTCAACGGGGAAGAGGACGGGCCCGTGGGCTCGTGGGTGAGTGGTCTCGCCGCCTCTTCGCCCCCCCCCCCCCCCCCTCCTCGCGGCGTCGCGGCCTGGCGCGTGCAGCCTGCAGCCTCAGATGGCTGCGCGCAGTTCCGGCTCCGGCTCGGCGCCCGAGGCGGGCGCCCAGCCCGACGCGGCGCTGCCCGACGCCCAGCCCGCGCTGCCCGACGCCCAGCCCGACGCCCAGCCCGACGCCCGGCCCCAGCCGAAGAGGCCCAGGAGCGCAGGGTCAAGGGGAGGGGGAAATTAACATAATGAGGGAACCTGGAATTGAAGGAGAGGAAGGGGGGGGATTGAGCGCAAGGAGGAACGAAAGGAGGGAGGAGCGAAGCGAAGAGTCCAGGACGAGGGGGAGCGAGGGGGAAATCAGTTATGTGAGGAGTGAGGGAGGCGAGTAAAGAGAGGGAGGGATGATGGAGGAATGAAGATGTGGGGGACCTCCTCCTCCTCCTCCTCCTCCTCCTCCTCCTCCTCCTCCGCCTCCGCCTACTCTCCCTCCCCCCCGTCGCCCTCCTCTAGCTCTTTTTTTCCCCCCCCGCCCCGCGGCGTCTTAGCCCGCCAGTCTCGTCGCGACGCTTCTGCTCCAACCCTGCCATACCTCGCCTCGTCGCCTCTGCACCTCCTCTCCTGACTCCTCACTTCGTCGCTCTGGTCCTGAAGGGGGAGGAGGAGAAGGGGCGAGCTCCCTCTCCGACGCCCCCCCGAAGGCTGCAGAACTACAGAAAATGCGACGTCTGCATGTCCTCGGTCGAGGACATCCTTGAGCTGCCCTGCCACAGGCAGGGCCTCTGCTTCAAGGCCGCAGTCGTCGCGGGCGCTGAACCGTTCATCCGCATCGTGTTCGAGGAACCGGGGAGGAGAGAGACGAGGGAAATATAGAGCGAGAGAGAGAGAGAGAGAGAGATACTATAGATAAAGAGCACGATCACGGTACATATAAAGAGAAACAGGGAGCGATAAGGCTATCTATAGATCTGTATATACACATTACGTTTACATATAGGGGGATATGTAAAAAAGGGGCTGCGCACAGCGTCCGCTCGTCGCGCGCGCGACGAGCGGACGCGCGCACCCTCTTTACACGCATGTACTCAAGCATGTGAACATGTATGTGTGCATATGCAGTTTATTTACATCGGGTGCATGCATACACACATACACACATACACACATACACACATACATACATACCTACATACGTACCTACCTATCTATATACATACATACATACATACATACATACATGCATGCATGTATGTATGCATGCATACATATACATATACATATACATATACATATACGTATACATATACATATACATATCCATATCCATATACATGTACATACATACATACATACAAACATACATACATACATACATACATACATGCATACATCTACACATGTTATCACCTCTTCCATCCTCTCCCCACTTTCCTGAGGCGCGTCCTCTCTCAGTCTCTCTCCTTTCTGCGCGGCGCGTCCTCCCCGGGGTGCTCGCCGTTCTCCGTCCTATCTCACCCCTCTCCCCTTTGCTATCCCACGCCCCCGCCCCTCCCTCCCTCGGCGCCCGCGCGTTCTGGTGCATGCGCGCGGCCAGCGAGGGGCACTGTGCTACTGTGCTCTGACAGCACGCCGTATTCCTCCTTTCTTTCCTCTCTCACCCCCCTCTCGTCTTTCCCCCTGCAGCCCAGGAGAGAGAATTGATGCTGGGCTCGCCGCTCAAAGTATCGCATTACGCTGCGTGGGGCCCGCCCGACCTTGCCGACAGCCTGGGCCAGCTCGCACAGTTGGTCAAGACCAACGCCACCTTCAATCTTGTGAAGTCGCTCCACCGCTGCCGCGAGCAGCACCGAGGCGGGGCGGGGCGCGGAGCGCGCACAGCGGCGAGAAGGAGAGAACGGGAACGAACGGGGGGGCGAGGTAGGACGGGGTAGAGGTGGAGGGAGGAGAAGAGAGGAATTCATTGCGCGTGGGGGGCGGAGAGGGAATGCACGCGCAACGGGAGAAGTAGGGAGCGCGTTGGGGGTTAGGGGGGCAGGGTATAGAGCAGGTGAGGACAGGGGCGAAATGTGCGGGGGGACGCTGGAGCAATCAGGGATGATATAAGATGCATGGCGGAGAGTTGGGGTGACGGGAAGGGGAGGTCGCCTCTACGGCATGGGCATCACCAGGTTCGGCAGCATGTGGAAGAACACTCAGGTGTTGCGGGGCGGGTGGCTTGCCTGAGACATGGGGAGAAGAGGGGTATGTCTGCGAGGCAGAGGTTAGGGATATAATAGAATAGGTAAAGCTAAATATATAGTGAAAGAGAGAAAGAGAGAAAAAGAGGGAGAGAGAGAGAGAGAGAGAGAGAGAGAGAGAGAGAGAGAGAGAGAGAGAGAGATAGAGCGAGACGGAGGGAATACGGAAGGCACGCAGAGGGACAACCCGCCTCGATTGAGCTCTCTCCAATATCTCCGCACCCTCTCTTCCCGCCCACTTCCTCCAGCACGCTCCCATCAGCACTGCGCTCCATATCCCCTCCTTTCAACGTGCTGCGTCGGGGGGAG